TATGGTTGTGAGCCACATGTGGGTACTAGGAATTGAACCCTTGGTCCTCTGCAAGAGTAAGTGCTCTTAACTGCTGAGCCATTTCTCCAGTCCTCGTTATTTTAAAGATTTTTGTGTCTGTTTAGTAGCTGAGTTGGTCTGTCGGTTTCTTTATTTTGTTCTGTTTCATGAGAATATTATACTGTCTTACAAAGAGTTGTAGGTGGGGTGCAGAGCTGCCTCAGTGGCTAAGAACTTTGTGCTCTTGCCAAGGGCCTGAATTTGGTTTCTAGCCACTCCGGGTGACTCACAACCTCCTGATACTCCAGTTCTGGAAGATCTGATGCCCTCCACTGGTGTCTGCTGACTCTGCACACACCCACACACATATACATGATTAAAATAAAAATAAATCTTACAAAAATTGTCCTGGTATGGTGGTGCACACCTCAGACACAGCACTTGGGAGGTAGAGGCAGGCAAATGTGTGAGTTTCAGGTCAGCTAGAGCTTTACAGTGAGAAAAAAAAAAAAAAAAGAGTCATTACTTGTTCCCTAAAGTTAGAATAATTTGCTAGTAAAATCCATGTGTGATCCTGAAGATTTCTTTCAGGGTACTTTACTGTAGGTCCAGTTTCTGTAAACTATGGAAGACTGTTTTAACTTTATATTTTTTTAGTATGTTTTGGTAAGCTGTGACTTTGTGGCGTTTGTGGGTTTAAAGTTTCAGGTCTACTGGCCTCAGGTTGGTTATGATATTTTTTTTTGTCACTCTGTACTGGCTGGTTCTATGTGTCAACTTGACACAAGCTAGAGTCATTAGAGAGGAAGGAGCCTCAGTTGAGGAAATGCCTCCATGAGATCCAGCTGTAAGGCATCTTCTCAATTAGTGATCAATGGGAAGAGCCCATGGTGAGTGGTGCTTCCCTGGGCTGGTGGTCCCAGGTTCTATAAGAATGCAGGCTGAACAGACCATGAGAAGCAACCCAGTAAGCAGCACCCTCCGTGGCCTCTGCATCAGCTCCTGTCTTCAGAATCCTGCCCTGTTTGAGTTTCTGTCCTGACTTCTTCAGAGATGAACAGCAATGCTAAAGTGTACACCTAATAAACCCTTTCCTCCCCAACTTGCTTTTTAGTTGTGGTTTCTTCACAACAATAGAGAAACCCTAACTAAGACACTCTTTGTAAGCTCTAGTAATCATTTTCATCCCTGGTGTGATAATCTGCCCCCCTTTCCCTTACTAGTATTTAAAAATTTGTCTTTTCAAGTTCATCATAGTATTTCCTTTTAATTGTAGATTTGCTATTTCACTAATTTCTGTTTTGTTCCTTCTTCCAACCTTTCTTAGAATATTCCATGTTTCTTTTTTACAGTTTCCTGGTATAATTGATAGTGTTTCTTTTCAGATCTATGTAGTTGATACTGTCATTTGCTGTGGCACAGAGTAACTTCGTCCTAGATCTGGGGCATGCTGTACTGTCATTGTCCAGCAGTTTAAAACACCTTTTCATCCCATGAATTCTGTCTGTCTGTACTCAGAAAGAAGTTAGTACTTATTATATGCACCGATAGGTGCTTACGTGTCTGTGTATAGTATTGAATATGTTTCCATTTCTTCTTTCATGGTGAAGGCTCATCGTAGTTTAAGGATGCCCTGTGTTCTCAGTTACCCGCTGCTACATTTGTGGTGTTTTAAATATCTTGTTTTGTGTTTTCTGTTTTGTAAATTCACTGTCCTTGGGGAATTAGTAGGAATGTGGGATTGTTGCTGAGTGCCTGTAACTTGGCAAACCTCAGTTATATTTGTGTGCTCACACTTTAAAACTTAAGTCTAGGTTATTAGTTGCTGGCAGGAATTCAGTGTTGTTGAGGGTTCCCACTTGATACATTTGGACAGAACTCACTTCTGCAGGCAATATTGAACACAGGGCTATGTGTACTACTGGAGTTGAACCAGCAGTATCGAGGCTGGAGTTCTCAAAAATAGGTTTTCCCTCACAGGGCTTGAGAGAAGGAAGGCTCAGTGTTTTCAGACTACACGCTGTTCTTTCAGAGGACCCAGGTTCGGTACCTAGCACCCAGCTGTGGCTGTAGTTCGAACTGAAGGTTAATCCAAGGAAATTTGGAGAACCGGGGTATTTTTAATATGCATAAGGAGTTATCCAAACTGTTTTCACTGAGATTGTGTCCCTACAATACTTGGTACCTTTGCTGTTGTGGCTAGGGCATGTCATTAAACTCATGTCTGGAGCCTGGATCTACTAGTTGCTAGCTCATGGCTTCAGCAGTACATTTCTTGTATAGTGAAGGTTCCTTGGTAAATATCTAATGAGTGTATGGAGCTACTGAGATGTTTGGTGCTATTTCCTTGTCTGTAAAACAGGTGCAATCATGTACTTGTTTACTGATTACACACAGGTTTTAAATTTGGAACATAGTAGGTGTCCATTGATGTTAGGTATGTGTGGCAAGCTTTTTCTTTTAGGCCACCAACCAGCTCCCAAATTATGACATGGAGACTTTTATTAGTTATGAATGCTTGACCTAACTTAGGTTCCTTTCTAGCTAGCTCTTTTAACTTAAATTAACCTGTTTCTCTTTATGTGCCTTTTGCCTCAGGGCTTTTTACTTTTCTTCCTTCTGTATATCTTTTTTTTTTAAGATTTATTTATTTCATATCCACCATTCTACCTACATGCCAGAAGAGGGCACCAGATTGAATTGTAGATGGTTGTGAGCCACCATGCGGTTGCTGGGAATTGAACTCAGGACCTCTGGAAGAGCAGTCAGTGCTTTTAACCTCTGAGCCATCTCTCCAGCCCCCCTTCTGTATATCTTACTTTCACTGCTTCTCGGGTCTGCTGGCTGGCAGCTGCCTGGCTTCTGGCCCCAGGCATCTCCTTCATTCTCTCCTCCTCTCTTTCTTCCTTCTCTCTAGATTTCTCCTCCTATTTATTCTTTTTGCCTGCAAGTCCCACCTATCCTGTCTCCTGCCTAGCTACTGGCTGTTCAGTTCTTTATTAGACCAATCAGATGTCTTAGGCAAGCAAGGTGAAACAGCAACACATCTTTACATAATTAAACAAATGCATCAAAAACAAATGTAACATGTCTTTACATTGTTAACAAAGGCAGCACAAATAAATGTAGCATACCTTTACACAGTTAAAGTAATATTCCACAGCATAAACAAATGTAACACTCTGTGCCTAGTTAAAATAATATTCCACAACAGGTATGATAATAAATTTTACACAAATCTTATTAATGTTGAGGATATCCTGCAAATACTGGTTAGGTAGGTTTGTGGAAGAGGTGAGAGAACTAAGATGCTTCAGACAGCGTGTGTGCTCCTTCTCATCCCTCTCAGGACCTGTGCTTGGTAAAGCAGTTTGTGCCTTCCATAATCAAGTTGTTAAAAGTGATGTCACTTTTTTTTTTTTAAGGAGCATAGAAACCAACACCAGCAGAGGACACACCTAAGCAATGAAGGCAGATCTGAAATATGGAAAAGGGAGGCTCTAATATGTACAAAGCGTCTCTAGAAGTAAGATTGAAATTGACAAGAGTGTATTGAGGAACTAGAGAGATGGTTCAGTGGTCAAGAGCACTGGCTACTGAGGACCCAGGTTCGATTCCTAGCACCCATATGGCAGGTCACAACCATCTGTAACTCCAGTCTTGGGGAATCCAGTGCCCTCTTCTGGCCTCCATGGGCACCAGGTACACACATAGTACAAAGACATACATGCAGACGAAAACACCCATGCACATAAATAATTTTTAAGTATGCCGATTAACTCAAAGGCATTTCTCAGCTCTGTTCTGGGTGCTGGAGGATTCTGGGTCTCCAGGACCCAGGAACAGAGGAGACCTCGGTGAGCACCATGAAGACCAGGATGGGTCAGGTGATGTGAAACAAACTTACAGACTACACTAGCTTATCATTTTGCTGTCTGAGACCTGGCCAGTGTGTTTGAATATACATTCCTCAGAGGATGCTTGGTTTTTATCAGACTCCAGAGTGTAAGGAAAGGCCAGCTAATGGCTTTGGGTTTGGTTTTCTTTTTGGCAATTTAAACTGTTTTCCCTCTCTTGTGAAGGTGTGTCTGCCCTGAGTATCCCTCCTTTTCCCTAATATTGCTTTTGTTTGAACTTCCATTCTGATTTGAAACTAGTTGATGGTTTGTGTAATCAAGGTTTAAATCAATCCAACCCTTTCACATGTGCCCATGAACATGGGTGTGGGGTATGAGTGTGTGCACACCATTACTTCCAGGAAGGGGTTAAGAGGAATAAAACACCATATAAGGCTGCTCCTGATGGTACACATAATTTGAAACTATATTAACAGAGATGATGAGTCTTTGTGTACTGAAGATGAGTAACCTTCCTCCCTTTCTTATAACCTTCCTCCCTGTCCTGGAACCTTCCTTCCTCCCTGTCCTGGAACCTTCCTTCCTCCCTGTCCTGGAACCTTCCTCCCTCCCTGTCCTGGAACCTTCCTTCCTCCCTGTCCTGGAACCTTCCTTCCTCCCTGTCCTGGAACCTTCCTTCCTTCCTGTCCTGGAACCTTCCTCCCTCCCATCTTTTTAAAAAATATTCCTAACTACTTCCTTCCTTCTCATTTTTTGCTATTGGTAGTAAAAATGCTATATTTTCTAGTGAAAATTTTACAATTTTCTAGTATTAATGCCACCCTATTTTTGAAATGTTTGTTATCCAGTGCACATGGCAAAATGATCAGGGTTAGATACAAGGCATGGGTTCTGGTACATTAAACAGTTTTTAGACAGGGTCTCACTGTGTAGCTCTGGTTGTCTTGAAACTCACTGTGTAGACCAGGCTGGCCTTGAGCGCATAGAGAATGCTGGGATTAGAGGTGTGCCCCACCACGTCTGGCTAGAAATTTCACATCTTAGGTGTCCTTTCGGAGTTTTTATTTAATATCATCCCAGAATGAAGCTCACTAAGAAGGGAATGGCAAATTATTGTAATGTTTCTGTTGTTTTTGTTTCTAGCTTATTCTACTAAACTGAACAAATTTCCTGTATTTAATATTAATGATGACTTGAATGATCTGTGTACCAGTGCAGTGAGCCCAAACACCACCAAAGCCACGAGGTATGCCCTAAATGTGTGGCGCTACTGGTGCATGACCAACGGGCTCAAAGACCACACGGACATCACCAAGGTAAGGGACGCGTGAGTTTGCTAATTCTTTTGGCTGACTTCACTGAGCTTCCAGGTGCCAGGCACCCTGCTAAGTGCTGTGGTGAACACTCATGAAAGAATAAGAAATGCAAAGAATATGATCTACAGGACCAAGTAGAATTTAGAAAGTTTAGTGAATGTACATTTGTTAAAGTATAAGGAAGAATAAATTACTCCATATTTCCAGGAAGCGGTAGGAGTTGGTAGAACTGGAAGACAGGAGACCAGAAGAGCAAGTGAGGTGAGGAAGAGCAAAATGTAGAGGGCAGAGCCATTTGCTACAGTGTGGCTGGGTCCAAAACCAGACATTGATGGCTTAAGTGACAAGCTCAGGGTTTGTAAACACTGGGAAGTCACTCAAGTTTCTTGGTTTTCCATGCTGCATGATCTGATAGTAAGAGCTCTAACTATCAGGGTTCAAGCAAAGAAGAATCCATTAGAGTTTTGTTTGTTTGTTTTGTTTTTTGTTTGTTTGTTGTTTTGCAGAAAGGAACTAATTGGAAGTCATGAAGAAAATACTTTTGTAGTATCCTTGTTCCCCAGTCTCCCCTTTATAAAATGAACTCTTAAGAACTCTCACAACTTCAAGTGTTTGAGATCTGTGAGTAGTATGGGACATGGGTACAGTGACTCTAAGCCAGGGCCAGGGTCCAGATGGTTATATCCATTAGGCAGCTGGGATTGTAAGGTTTCAAATGGTGGAAATTGTGAGCTGGAAGCTTAAATTTAAAGGTCTCACAGATGGAGACCATTAGTTGACGCCTAAAGGCATGTAAGATTTCAGTTTGGGTGGTGGACTTAGGGACTCAATAAAAGCTGAAATAGAAAACCTGGCTTTCTCTTTCTGGCAGCATGGTAGGTAAAGTAGTGAGAGGCTTTTCTGTTACACGTGAAGGCAGGGAAACATCCTGGGGGTGAGGGCAGAACATAAAAGAGTGATGAAACCTACCAGCTAGCACATTTCCTTCTGAGGGCAAAACTGGTAAAGTTAAGGAGGGAAGAGGCAGGTGGTCAACTGATGATCTTCAGCTACAGGAGGAACCTTCAGGATCCTAAAAACGTTCTAGGTCAGGGGGCTGGGGGGATGGCTCATTGGGTAAGTGCTTGCCATGAAAGCAAGAGGAACTGAGTTGAGATCCCCAGGATCCACAAGGAAAAAGCTGGGTGGTAGGTGCCCAGAATGACTTGATGGCCAGCTATTCAAGCTGGAATTAGTGAGAGACCATGCCTCAAAAAGTGAGATGGAGAGGTAGCTAAGGAAGATACCTGATGTCTACCTATGGCCTTCACATATATGCACAACCTCATATATGTGTACACACACACACACACACACACACACACACACACACAAGAGACAGAGCAATTGGTTGTTTGAGTGGATGTTCTCGGTAAATAGCAGACTCTGGCTGCTAAACAGAGTCAATATTAATGATCTTTTCAGGGAAACATCCAAAATGTAGGCACTAAGTGCTTTGGGCAAATTAAGATCAACTAAGTAGGTTCTTGTTAAAGAGTCTTTGCCAGGGCTGGAGGATGGCTTGCCAGTTAAGAGTATCTGCTATTCTTGCCAGGGACCTGGGTTCTGTTCCCCGCACCTACTCGACAACAGCCATCTATAACTCCAGATCTAATACCCTCTTCTGGCTTCCACAGGCACTGCATGCATTTGGTGCACAGACATATATGCAGACAAAACACCTATATACATAAAAAAAATAATGTATTTAAAAATCTAGAACATAGCAAAATTTAGTGTCTGGCATTTAATGAAAAATTATCAAAATGCAAAAAACTAGCAAATATATCCCTTAAAAGAATGAATCAAGCCTATGCTGGCTGCACTCACTTCTAATCCTAATTCTAGCACCTCGGAAGCAAGGATGAGCTACATTACAAGACTGTTTCAAAAACAAAGCAAGAGGGGGCTGGAGAGATTGCTCAGTGGTTAAGAGCAGGTACTACACTTGCAGAGGACCTGAGTTCAGTTCCGGGCACACATATTCCTTAACTCACTTGTTATGGATGGAAGTTTCTGTCCTGCCAAGTCCTGCAGATGTTTAGTCCCAAATAAACACACAGAGGCTTATATTAATTATAAACTGTTTGACCTATGGCTCAGGCTTTTTATCGGGTAGCCCTCTCTTAATTATTAGTCCGTGTATCACCACGTGGTCTTGGCTTACCGGTGATGCTCAGGCCTCTTTCTTCCTCGGCAGCTACATGGTGTCTCCTTGAGACTCACTCTCTCCATTCCTCTACCCAGCTTTCTCCTAGTCTCATAGCCCTGCCTATACATCCTGCCTGGCTACATGCTGCTTGTCCATTGGCCAAAACAGTTTATCCATCAACCAATAAGAGAAACGTATATTCACAGCATATAGAAGGACATCCTCCATCTACTTCTAACTTGTAATTCCAGCTCTAGAGATTCAATGCTCTCTACTGGATTTTGCAACCATCTGTACTCATATGCCTATGTCTACACAGAGACACATAATTGAAAATAAAATAATGTTTAAAATCTTTTTTAAAAAAATAGGAAGAAGCTATGCAAATATATCATAGTCATGTTCTCTTTTTTTTCAATTTGAAACGAGCTTCTTTTACATGTCAACCCCAGTTCCCTCTCCCTCCTCTCCTCCCCTGTCCCCCACCAACCCCCTATCCTATCCCCTTTACGCTCCCCAGAGATGGTGAGGCCTTTCATGGGGGATCTTCAGAAATCTGTCATATCATTTGGAGCAGGGCCTAGACCCTTACCCTGTGTGTCTAGGCTGGGCGATTATCCCTCAATGTGGATTGGGCTCCCAAAGTCCATTCCTGTACTAGGGATAAATACTGATCCATTACCAGAGGCCCCATAAATTAACCAGAACTCCAAACTGACATCCTCATTCATGGGGTGTGGAACAGTCCTGTGCTAGTTTCCCAGATATCAGTCTGGGGTCCATGAGTAACCCCTTGTTCAGGTCAGCTGTTTCTGTGGGTTTCTCTAGCCTGTTCTTGACCCCTTTGCTCATCACTCCTCCCTGTCAGCAGCTGGATTCCAGAATTCAGCTAAGTGTTTAGCTGTGGGTGTCTGCTTCTTCTTCCAGCTACTGGATGAAAGCTCTAGGATGGCATATAAGGTAGTCATCACTCTCATTATTGGAGAAGGACATTTAAGGTAGCCTCTCTGCTATTGCTTTGATTGGCAGTTGGGATCAACCTTATCTGGACATTTCCCTAGTGCCAGAATTCTCTTTAAACCTATAATGGCTCCCTCTATTATGGTATCTATTTCTTGCTCTCCTCTATTCTTTCCCTGACTCAATCTTCCTGTTCTCTCCAGTCCTCTTCTCTCCTTCTCTTTCTTCTAACTCCCTCTCCCCTCCCCCCATGCTCCCTATTAGCTCAGGACATCTTGTCCCTTTCCCCTTCTTCGGGGGACTATGTATGTCTCTCTTAGGGGCCTCCTTGTTTCTTAGCTTCTCTGGCAGTTTAGATTTAGGCTGCTACTCCTTTGCTGTAGGTCTAAAATCCATATATGAGTGAGTACATGCCATTTTTGTCTTTTTGTGACTGGGTTACCTCACTCCATAATCATGTTCTTAATCTTTAATGTCTGAAGAGAAAACAAGAACAGCTAGAACAAAAGGTCAGATTATTACAGAGAATCAAAGGTAAAGTTGACAGAAGATTTGCTGCCAGAAACCAGGCAGATGAAGATACTGGTATAAATGTCTCCTTTAAATTATTGAAAGAAAAGTAATTTCAGTATCTTCAGTGAAGATGTCTTTCAAGTAAGATGAGATAATGACTTTTGAAACATTCAAAGGTGAGGAAATTCAGCAGCAGCAGCAGATCCACACTTTGAGAAACATTAAAGGAAGTTTAATGTTCTCCCTCCAGCCAAAAGGGAGATGATAGCATCTGGAACTGGGATCCATCACAAAGAGAAGGAAAGTACAGGGAGGACAGCTACTGTGTAAATATGTGGTGCTTTAAATCATTCTATGGAACATCATGGACTTTTAAAACAAAAACAGAACAAGATAATATGGAACAATAAGTAGCAAATTGATCCAGAAAAGAGGAAAATGGGCAAAACTAGTTCCACATTAGCAAGTCCAGCAAGCCGTAAACAAGGGGGTAGGTAACATTTGTAACTAGCTGAAAGGAAACCTGTCCACCTAGAATTTTATACTGCCTCTCCTCCCTGCTCTCCCCGTCTCTTCCTCCCCATTCTCTCTCTCCATCTCTCTTCCTCCCTACTCTCCTTCGCTCCCTCCCCACTCTCCCTCTTTCTTCCTCCCTGCCCTCCTCTTTCTCTCTGAAAGGAAACAGAACACCCATCAGCCAACAAGGAAGTTCACAGTGACAGTCTTGATTCAGGATATTGAAATTGTAGTGTGTTGCTGTCCGTAGTAGAATTAAACTACATTAGTTACAGATCACTAACTAAAAAGACCCTGATTCTGGGAAGTTATTAAATGACCCACAGATGAAGAAGAAACCACAAAGGAAATTATAAACCAATGAACCAAATGAAAATTAAATCAGATCTTAGTTTGTGGAATGTGACTTCTGCTAGGGAAGCAGGCAGGTTGACTGCACAGCTTCACTCTCCCCCATTTCTTGGGGTTGGCCTCCCATCTCTTCACAGGCTCTGTAGCAGACCTTCAGCTATGCCTCTCCTCATTCTCTACCCCATTCCCAGCGGTAGATCCTGGTGGAACACCCTGCTTCCTCCCTCCTGTGGACCAACTCAGCCCCTTTCTAGCCCATCCCCATTACCGAGTACCATCTCTCAATACCCAGAATACATTTTACCTGGAACCCCAGTGGCCACACCTGTCAGGACCCCAGAAGAATTCCCTATCAGGCATACACAGCTGCCACACTCACCTAAGAACCAAAGAGGGCATCAGAAACCCAGGAACAAAACACCCGCCCCACATAGACAAGATCAGATATCAGCACCAAGAATTACAATCT